GTATCCCTGAAGTCCTGGCCGACCTGGACAGCATCAAGACCACCACCGATCCCTATGATTCAGGCCTCACCCTGTACCTGGTGGTGGCGGTGGCCTCGGTATCCTGCATCTTCCTCGCCTTCGTCATCGTGTTGATGGCGCTCAGGCTGCGGCGCTGGCACAAGTCACGCCTGCTTCAGGCTTCAGGAGGTGGATTGGCAGGCCTGCCCGCCTCCCACGTTGTGGGTATGGACGGGGTGCGGGCTTTCCTGCAGACCTATTCCCACGAGGTTTGCCTCACCGCAGACTCCAGGAATAGTCACCTGATCTTCCCGCAGCCCAACTATGCGGACACGCTGATCAGCCAGGAGAGCTGCGAAAAAAGTGAGCCTCTTCTGATAACTCAGGATTTACTTGAAACAAAAGGAGACGCTAATCTTCAGGTGAGCCAATGATATAATCATTCTTACTACACTGAAATATTGGCAAAGGGCCTTGTAAATGTTTCCAATTATATAAGAGATGTAATATAGCAAATAAAGGTACTTCTAGGGTCAATAATGATCAATAACTAACTACTATGCAAAAAATTTATTTATTACTTATACTTTTTAGTCTTCATCCAATTGTAGTTTCAGGCAGAAATTTCTTAATTTTATACCTCGACAATCTCACTTTTTTAAATGTCATTTTCCTTTAGGCATTACTGAAAGGATGGATTCGAACTGTGAAATAGAAGGCAATTGTGTAAATCCATATTTATGGCATTCTTTCTTGTGAAGCTGTTGTGGAATCTGGACTGAGTATTTTTAAATTCCCTCTTTTCCCACTCTATCATGTTTTGCTTGAAGTTTACTTCTCTTTCCTTGAAAGGGTGTTTCTATTATAGTTAGACAATGGCAATTTATGGACTCTAGGGAAAATGTTTAACTTTTGGTATAACTTTAACAGGGATATTGTTTCAATTAGCCAGTATATCTCAAATATTTTGTTGTTGCTGTTCTGAGACGCACCAGTAATGACTATGTGTGATTCCTTCAGTGCACTTCTATGATTATCAGAATATTTTCCATTTTATTTCACTTATATTTAAGTAAATTGTATGAGTAATTTTAATAATTTCTAAATTTCCTGGTTTGGCATCACTATTAAGACTTTTCTTGATTTCTAAGGACAAAAACTTTTTCAAATCTTTCCACTTTTTATCATGTGAGCCTCCTAGAAAGATTGGATAACTTGGATTCTGGATTGATATGATTCTTGCTACTCAGTAAACTGGCCTCATCCTTATGCCTGCAAATGGCATTCATATAGCTGTTTATTGTGTGACTCTGGAATGATGTGATGTGGGAGAAAATATTTTATTTGTAAGGAATATGCAGCACTATTGTTCCTTGGCCTTCATTCAATTCCATGAATAACTCAGAATTCATGAATGCCAACGGCTACACAAATTAGTGTATTTTGATGACTGGAAGTTGTAGCAATAGATTGTGGAATATGCCTTCACTCAACTTAAGAAGGAGAGTTTTAGTTTCTACATTATTTTGTATTCATAGGAAGTTGTGGTGTGATACATAGTAAACTGGAATATGATATGATACAATTAGCCAGCTTGGGGGAAGGAAAAAAGGAATAACAAGTGAACATTGAGAGATGACCCATATCTGAGGAGAGATTATTTAAAATACTCAAGCCCTAAAGTATAATTTTGATATGTTCAATTGGCCTGACCCTGAGTCAAATATATTCAGATGATGTTAGGAATACATTTCAGAATCAGAGTGGTACATGTTTTAATGCCTAGGAAAGCAATAATGTATCTAGTACTATATGGGAAATATGTTTTTGTTTGAATGGGAACTGGGTTTCTTTTAGAAAATGATACTTCTGATTAAACAAATCATTATACTATATCCATATGATGGACTACTATATAGCTACAAGTAATAAATGGAAAACTTGGCCAGGGCAGTGGCAAGCACCAGTAGTACCAACTACCAATATGAAATGATCTTCAAGACTGAATGAATGAAGAAGCAAGGTGCAGAACATGGTATATTGTATGCTTACATTTGGGTAGGAAAGGGGAGAAGAACATTTGTAATAATCTGCTGCACTCTACAAAACATATCTCTGGGAGGATACACCAGAAACAACACTTATTTCTCATGGGAGAAACGTTATCGAAAGCAGGGATGAGAGGGTGAACCTATGAATCTGGGATAATTTTAATTATATTACTTACTTTGAAACAAACAAATACTCTTAATAAATCAAAAAAAAAAAGGGAAGAAAGAAAGAAAAAGGAGTTCTTTGCAAACATTTACAAGCCATTGGTGCAGTTTCCCAAGAAACCCTCTGGGCGTCGCTGTAGGTCAAAAGAACTGAGAGAAAATATCAGAGACGCATTTTTGGAGCCTCTTAGAAGGCAACTTCCTGCTCAAACTAACCACACAGAGGAGACCAGCACGGATTCGGGTCAGAAAAGAAAGGCAGGAAAAGTGACCCTAGCCGGGATTCTGCCACCCACGGAGGGTTTATTTTCCCACTGGCAAAGGAGCGGAGGAGCGCGGAGGGAGCCGGAGGATGCGGCCGCGCGCGGGGACGCGCTGGGCGGCGCCCGGGCTGCAGGTACTGTCGCTCTTCGCGCTGTCTTTGTTCCGCGGGGCCCTCGCAGACGCGATCCGCTACTCCATCCCCGAGGAGCTGGCCAAGGACTCGGTGGTGGGGAACCTCGCTAAGGACCTGGGGCTCGCGGCCGCGGACTTGCCGGTCCGGAAGCTGCGGGTGAGCGCGGAGAAGGAATATTTCGCTGTAAACCCAAAGAGCGGGGACTTACTCGTGGGTGACAGAATAGACCGCGAGCAGATTTGCGGGAAGCAGCCTCTGTGTGTTCTGGATTTCGATACTGTCGCTGAAAACCCACTGAACATTTTCCACGTAGCAGTAACTGTGCAGGATATAAATGACAACACCCCGCTATTCAAACAGAGTAAAATTGATTTAAAAATCGGAGAATCCACTAAGGCAGGTGCAGCATTTCCACTGGATCCAGCCCTGGATTCAGATGTTGGTCCTAACTCACTGCAGAGATACCACCTTAATGCCAATGAGCACTTTGACCTCGTCGAGAAGCAGACTCCGGATGGACTTAAATATCCTGAGTTGATTCTGAAGCATTCCCTGGACAGGGAAGCGCACGATTCCCATCAGTTGGTCCTCACAGCTGTGGACGGTGGGGACCCACCTCAAAGCGGAACCACCCAAATACGAATCCAGGTCACCGATGCCAACGACAACCCTCCAGTGTTCGGCCACGACGTGTACAGGGTCACCCTGCGGGAGGACGTGCCCCCCGGTTTCTCTGTGCTTCGAGTGACGGCCACCGACCTGGACGAGGGATCCAACGCGGAGATCACCTACTCCTTTCATAACGTGGACGAACAAGTGGGACACCTTTTCAATTTAGATAAAACGACAGGAGAAATCACAACAAAAAATGCTTTGGATTTTGAAGTTGCTAGTAGTTACACGCTGAGTATAGAAGCGAAAGATCCCGGAGATCTGGCAGCCCATTGCCGCGTTCAGATCGAAATTCTTGATGAGAACGATTGTGCACCAGAAGTGATTGTGACTTCAGTATTTACCCCCCTGCCAGAGGACTCACCTCCAGGAACAGTGATAGCTTTGATAAAAACAAGAGACAGAGACTCCGGAGAAAATGGGGAAGTTTACTGCCGCGTCTTGGGAAACACCAAGTTTATACTGACATCTTCCTCAAAGAACTATTACAAGCTAGTGACAGACAAGGCTCTGGATCGGGAGGAGATCCCGGAATACAATGTCACCATCACAGCCACCGATAGGGGCAAGCCACCTCTCTCCTCCAGCGTAAGCATCACTCTGGTCATCTCTGACATCAACGATAATGCCCCAGTTTTCCACCAGAGTTCCTACGCTGCCCACGTGGCAGAGAACAACCCTCCCGGAGCCTCCATCGCTCAAGTCAGCGCGTCCGACCCGGACCTGGGACCCAACGGCCACATCTCTTACTCCATCGTGGCCAGTGACCTGGAGCCCAGGCTGCTGTCGTCCTACGTGTCGGTGAGCGCGCAGAGCGGGGTGGTGTTCGCGCAGCGCGCCTTCGACCACGAGCAGCTGCGCGCCTTCCAGCTGACGCTGCAGGCCCGCGACCAGGGCTCGCCCGCGCTCGGCGCCAACGTGAGCCTGCGCGTGCTGGTGGGCGACCGCAACGACAACGCGCCGCGGGTGCTGTACCCCGCGCTGGGGCCCGACGGCTCGGCGCTCTTCGATATGGTGCCGCGCGCCGCGGAGCCCGGCTACCTGGTGACCAAGGTGGTGGCGGTGGACGCTGACTCAGGACACAACGCCTGGCTGTCCTACCACGTGCTGCAGGCCAGCGAGCCCGGGCTCTTCAGCCTGGGGCTGCGCACGGGGGAGGTGCGCACGGCGCGAGCCTTGGGCGACAGGGACGCTGCCCGACAGCGCCTGCTGGTCGCTGTGCGTGATGGTGGACAGCCGCCCCTCTCCGCCACCGCCACGCTGCACCTGGTCTTCGCAGATAGTCTGCAAGAGGTACTACCCGATCTCAGCGACCACCCCGCGCCCTCTGACCCCCAGGCTGAGCTGCAGTTTTACCTGGTGGTGGCCTTGGCCTTGATCTCTGTGCTCTTCCTCCTCGCGGTGATTCTGGCCATCGCCCTGCGCCTGCGACGCTCCTCCAGTCCAGCCGCCTGGGGCTGTTTTCAGTCTGGGCTCAGCTCCAAGTCTGGACCTGGGGTTCTCCCCAATTACAGCGAGGGAACATTGCCCTATGCCTACAATCTGTGCGTTGCCTCACAATCAGCTAAGACAGAGTTCAACTTTCTCAACGTGACCTCGGAAATGGCTCCCCCTGAGGATCTCCTCTGTGACCCTGCCTCTTGGGGACCAAGTACAAATCATGAAGACACTGGAGTTCCATTTGCCTCAGATACTATTTTAAAGGTGAGTGTTAATTCAATTTATTTATTTTCACTTCAGTTTTTATTGTTTCTTAGCAAATCACCTAACTTGGGTCCAAGGCTCCGTTGCATAATGTGTTGTCTAGTGAGTCGGGTTTGGTCAGTGTTCTGCTTTAATTACCTTACTCTTCTCTAACCAAATCTTAAATATGAGCTTTCTATCTGAAGTGTGAGATTGATTTGTCCATAATTATAGGCCTTTGCCACATGAAATACCATACTGTACTTCTTTCTTATCTTTACATTCTGTCCCTCTGGAGGTTTGTTACTACTGGGAATTGAAAGAATTTCTTTCACCTTCAGGGTCTTTATGATTCAAATTTTACTTCCTCTTAAAATCACAGTACTTGAGAGTAAAGAGAGTCTTCACCTTACTAGTTTGTAGAAATTGGGAACCAAACAAAGGAAGGGTTTTGACCAAATGTCATGCTTGTTTAACCACAGTGCTTGGATAGGACATTGTTCCAACTTAAAGACCAACACTTTTGGTATTTTTACAAGCTACACATCTTGGGATCCCAGAACTATTTTAAAGGATGGGCAATGTTTGAGGTCTGAGTTCTAACATACATATTAACAAATTGTGCTAGAGAAAACTTGCACATTGAGAAAAACTTTGCAACCTAGTCACATCATTTTCTACCAAATATTACTTAGAACTTTATGGTTTTGAATTCCCTAGTTATAGAATATCTTCATTTTGTTAGTGTTCTATGAAGGTTTCTAAGTAAAGTTGCTTCTCTTGTAACTCGCTCAAATGTCCATTTTTTTCAGTCATGAGGTTTTACTTTTTCTGTTACCACATAAAAGTGATAACGTTAAATATCTGTCTCAACATAGAAAGGGCACTCACTGCTGCTGGCTGGGCATGGTTTCCTGCATGGATGATGATCTAAAGCCCTGTCCTCCACAGTCCCTAACTGGCTGTCACCAAGAGCCCATTGCTGTAAAATGTCTAACTACAAGTGTTTTAACATGGTAATAGGAAAATATAAATAATGTATGGTTAACCAAATTCAAACTCTCAGTCTCAGGTAGTGCAGATACTTTTTCCAAGACCTCAAAAGTAACTAAGACCTTTATTCTTTCTGCTTATGACAGCTAACATAACTTGCATAAATCAATAGGCCTTTTTGGAAAGGTGCATTGAGAGCTGGGGTTGTTTCTTTGGCATTCTTATGTACAAATAAGCATGGTTTCAAAAATGTATCCTAATAAAAAGATGAAATCTTGAGTCCTACAAAGGTAAGAATTTCAATGTCCTAATTTAACGGACAAAATATAGATAAGAGGTAAATAAAGGACATGGGCTCAATGGCACATTAAATAAAACTTTTCTAAGGAAGTAAAATGAATATAATAATTATATTTATTTCAGGGGCTTGTGGAAGTCTTTTGCTATTCAGAATTAAAGCTTAGTTAACTATTATAAACAATGTCACGCAGCAATATAATAAGGATATGGCAGAATTATTAGAAACACACGTAATTGTACTTACAAGAAATAAAAATAGAATTGGTGGTGTAGTAACTGGTTAGGACTCTGGGCGTCGCTGTTCGCCCAAGTGGGAGAGAAGCTGTCGCGGAGGCGATCCGACTCTCTGCTCCCACGTTACTAAACGCTCACAGATCAGACAAGCTCTCCGGAGGGGAAAAAAAACCAACCATCCGCGTCCGGCTTCCCTTTTCGTCCTGGAATTTAGACGCAGCGGCTTTAGGAAAATAAGGAGACAGCCAGGCTGAACCAGGACTAGGAGACGACTGGGCAGAGAGGAGGCGATGGCGAGTCCGCCGAGGCGCTGGGGCTGCGGAGAGCTGCTTCTGCTGTGCGCGTTCCTGGGGACGCTGTGTGACACGGGATCCGGGCAGATCCGCTACTCCGTGCCCGAGGAGCTGGAGAAAGGCTCCTTCGTGGGCAACGTCGCCAAGGACCTGGGGCTGGAGCCTGAGGAGCTGGTGGAGCGGGGAGTCCGCGTTGTCACCAAAGGCAGGACGCAGCTTTTCTCTCTGAAAGCCAGAACTGGCAGCCTGGTCACCGCGGACAGGATAGACCGGGAGGAGCTCTGCGCCCAGAGCGCGCCGTGTCTGGTGAGTTTTAACATCTTGGTTGAGAATAAAATGAAAATTTATGGAGTGGAAGTAGAAATAATCGATATTAATGATAACTTCCCGCGCTTCCGGGATGAAGAATTAAAGGTTAAAGTCAATGAAAATGCGGCCGTGGGGACGCGGCTGGTGCTCCCCTTTGCGCGGGACGCGGATGTGGGCGCGAACTCCCTCCAGAGCTACCAGCTCAGCGCCAACCTGCACTTCTCTCTGGATGTGATAAGCGGGACGGACGGGCAGAAGTACCCGGAGCTGGTGTTGGAGCAGCCCCTGGACCGCGAGAAAGAGGCTGTTCACGACCTCCTCCTCACAGCTCTGGATGGCGGAGACCCGGTCCTCTCCGGCACCACGCACATCCGCGTGGCGGTTCTCGACGCAAACGACAACGCGCCCCTGTTCACCCAATCCGAATACCGAGTGAGCGTTCCCGAGAGCATACCTGTGGGCACTCGGCTGCTCACGCTAACCGCCACCGACCCAGACGAGGGAATAAACGGGAAATTGACCTACTCTTTTCGCAATGAAGACGACAGAATTTCCGAGACTTTTCAACTTGATTCCAACCTGGGGGAAATCTCAACTACTCAATCACTGGACTATGAAGAATCCAGATTCTACCTCATGGAAGTGGTAGCTCAGGATGGAGGCGCTCTTCTTGCCAGTGCTAAGGTGCTGGTCTCAGTACAGGATGTGAATGACAATGCCCCCAAAGTGACCCTCACCTCTCTCACCAGTTCTCTCTCTGAAGACTGTCCTCCCGGAACTGTGATTGCACTGTTTAGTGTGCACGACGGTGATTCTGGAGAGAATGGTGAGATTGCATGTTCTATTCCCAGGAACCTGCCTTTTAAACTGGAAAAGTCAGTTGATAATTACTACCACCTATTGACAACAGAAGCCCTGGACAGAGAGGAGATTTCAGATTATAATATCACCATAACAGTCATTGACCATGGAACCCCACCCCTATCTACAGAAAACCACATCTCTCTGAAAGTAGCAGATGTCAATGACAACCCGCCTGCCTTCCCTCATGCCTCCTACTCCACCTCCCTCCCAGAAAACAACCCCAGAGGCATCTCTATCTTCTCTATGACTGCCTTCGACCCTGATAGTGGTGACAATGCCCGGGTCACTTACTCCCTGGTCAAAGACACATTTCAGGGGGTTCCTCTATCTTCCTATGTGTCCATTAACTCTGACACCGGTGTCCTGTATGCTCTACAATCCTTTGACTATGAGCAGTTGAGAGACTTGCAGATGTGGGTGACAGCCAGCGACAGTGGGAATCCACCGCTAAGCAGCAACGTGTCACTGAGCCTGTTTGTGCTGGACCAGAATGACAATGTACCGGAGATCTTGTACCCTGCCCTTCCTACTGATGGTTCTACGGGTGTGGAACTGGCACCCCGTTCTGCAGAACCTGGCTACTTGGTGACCAAGGTGGTGGCAGTGGACAGGGACTCAGGCCAGAATGCCTGGCTGTCCTACCGCCTGCTCAAGGCCAGCGATCCCGGGCTCTTCTCGGTGGGGCTGCACACGGGCGAGGTGCGCACAGCAAGGGCCCTGCTGGACAGAGACTCACTCAAACAGAGCCTGGTGGTGGCCGTCCAGGACCATGGCCAGCCCCCTCTCTCAGCCACTGTCACGCTCACCGTGGCCGTGGCTGACAGTATCCCTGAAGTCTTGGCTGACCTGGGCAGCATCAAGACCGCTGCTGATCCCTATGATTCAGGCCTCACCCTGTACCTGGTGGTGGCAGTGGCCTCAGTCTCCTGCGTCTTCCTCGCCTTCGTCATTGTGCTGCTGGCGCTCAGGCTGCGGCGCTGGCACAAGTCACGCCTGCTGCAGGCCTCAGGAGGTGGATTGGCAGGCCTGCCCGCCTCGCACTTTGTGGGTGTGGACGGGGTGCGGGCTTTCCTGCAGACCTATTCCCACGAGGTGTCCCTCACCGCGGACTCTAGGAAGAGTCACCTGATTTTCCCCCAGCCCAACTACGCGGACACGCTCATTAGTGAAGAAAGTTGTGAAAAAAGCGACCCTCTTCTGATATCTGATAAGGTAAATGCAAGCAAAAAAGAACCCGGAGTTGTTCAGGTTAGTTTTCTCTTTCAGTAAGGATGACTAGAGCATTTTCTTCATTTGCTTCCTCATTCATTTTTCTGGCATATTCGAAATCAGCTGATTTTATAAAGGGTGAATCAGTATTTGCTCTATTGAAGATTAATTTGATTTTATTTGATAACTGATGCTTTCTTCATTTGTTTTCAAATTATATTTTGGGTTTAATGTCTTCTTTTGTGAATATGGGGATGTTTTCGAAAATCTAGTGATATCCGTAGACTTAAGTGAAACAAATATCTTAAAAGAAAGTGGTTAAAAATAATCCTTTTACCCAAGATTTTGTTATATTGGAATTGCTAGTCTGTTAATAGAAGAGTTGGTTTATTAGTTCAAATTGTCCTGTTTTGAATATTTACTTAGACACCATTAGTGAATGTGTTTTGGAAAGGATATTGTATAGGATTGATATTTTCGTATAACTGAAGGTTGCATAGGGAAATAATTAACAATATTTGCATAAGCCAGTAGAAGAGTGCAGAAAATTTTTGCATGATCAATATCAGAAAAAAAGGTTAATTTTATAGTGATGAATATGATGTGTGCAACATTCTGAAATCTGGAAAGTTTGAACTTAAGCATGTAATAATTGGATATGTGGACTTATTGAGAGAAGAAATCAATGGGAAGGAACATAGAGTTCAGCTTTATTCTGTGATACAAAGTTTAACTGTTTAGAGTTTAAAGTCTCCAAAGAGTTAGATACTGCTGCATTCAAATAAACATCAATATGCCATACACCTAGCATCTTCTGGTTACAAGTAGTCCTTTTGCTTATTAGAATCAATACCTACTGAAATGTTCGCATTTCTTCAAGTATAAGTACAATTCTACTCTATTACCAGAGTCTAAGGTTTGTATTTGCAAAATGAATTCAACTTAGGAACCGTTTGAAATTTTAAAATTCATTTCGGAGGGATGTGCTAACCTTAAATTAATAGGTTTTTCTTAATGAAATGCCATTCGATGAGTCTCAAATTCCAGTAGCATGTGTTGGGTAATGAAAGAACTACTTGATTTTGTGCATGTGTTTGCTGAAGATGATTTTCTTCTTAAAATAGTTTTAATCTCCCAAGTGTTGTACTTTTAACACCGTTAACATCAGCTGCAAATAATGAATATATGATGGAAATGATAATAGAATATTATTTGTGGGATAGTAAGCTACATTACTGAACCACTTGAAAGGTTTATTGACACATTGAGGAACCTAAGACCACTTGATTTTTATTTTTTAAACAGTTATTTAATTAAATGTATATATGCACAATTCTGATCTCCATGTAAAATGTGCAGATTCCTTAAATAGTGAGTAAATGCATACAAAGGGTAATAAGAGACTCTGTATGGTAGGTGCTGACATTATTCACTCTTATGTGAAAACTCACATTTCCATATTTTTAAAAGACAAGGTTAGAGATTTAGTGAAGTATCCTCTGAGTTAACTTTTTTTGTTGTTTGTTTGTTTGAGACAGAGTCTCGCTTTGTTGCCTAGGCTAGAGTGAGTGCCGTGGCGTCAGCCTAGCTCACAGCAACCTCAAACTCCTGGGCTCAAGCAGGCATGCGCCGACCATGCCCAGCTTAATATTTTCTATATATATTAGTTGGCCATTAATTTCTTTCCTGTTATAGTAGAGACGGGGTCTCGCTCTTACTCAGGCTGAGTTTCGAACTCCTGACCTCGAGCCTGAGTTAACTTTTTATGCAATGGAGAAATATCTTTTATCCCTCTGTAAACTACCAATAGACTTTATAAAATGCTTGATCCACACATTCTGAATGTATATACTATATATTAATATACCATACACTCTTTTAAATATTTGAATCTTTAGTTTTATATGTTCTCTGAAAGATAATTTTCCTATACTAATCGAAGTGTTTATACAATTGTGAAAAGGCACTTGCTTGGGCATCTTTGGGAGCAAAGTCTTGAGTCAGTAATGCTTTTTATGGTTGTATAAGGTAAAGATGCCGATGAGTGGCTCTCTAGAATTCTGGATACAATGCGCAGTTTAAGATGCTCTCATGCTTTTCTACTATAAGGTGAGTTCAATGTTGCTACACACCTGCCAATCTATTATGGAGGTCAAAGATAATTTCTTTATGAAGATTTTCTAGTTTGGAAATGTAATTAAAATAGTAGGACATTTTTAATATGTTTGCTGGCCATTATTCTGTCTTCTTTTGAAAAGTTTCTGTTCATGTTCTTTGCTCATTTATTGATGGGGTTATTTGATTTTTTTCTTGTTGATTTTCTTAAGTTGTATATCGATTCTTGTTATCAGTCCTTTATTGTCTGTGGAGAAAGCAAATATTTTCTCCCATTCTGTAGGTTATCTATTCACTGTAAATATAGTTTCCTTGGCTATGCAGAAGCTTTTTAATTTGTGGTGTAGCAATCATTACTTGTAACCAAAATGTTTGTACCCCCATAATGGTCTGAAATAATAAAAAAGATAGTAAGGCATCTGCCAGAAGCATGGAAATTGGCATGTTATTGAAAAGAGGAGTGTAAATAACAAAAAGTTGAGATGGTCCGATAGTAACCTGGGGACCAAAGAAAAGTGAACGACATAGATTAATTTCCTTGGGGTATAAAATTCTAAGAACTCACATTTCACTTTCCAAATCCAAATAACACTATTGTTAAGCTGCTTGGGAAGAAAGAGTACAATGGAGGACAATTGTAACGTAGTGTGGGAAAATGTCATTGGTGGAATAGTCTTGCAGTCATACTCATTCAGTTAAAGGTAGACACTTGGAAATGAAAGAAAAGAGTCTCTTGCTTCTCACCGTACTTTGGTTTTATAGGGACAATCAATCTCATTGCTTACCTATCAATTCTTTTGGGGTAAGATGCTAAAGATACCACAGAAGAACATGAAACACAAAATAAAACTAGAAGCTATGGGAGTTATAACTTTCAGGAGTTAGAAGAAAAGGAAACAGAGTAGAATAGCAATACACATGAAGCTGATATGTCAAGAATTTTTATGCTACATCTTCTGTGATCACCAACATTATCTTTCATTTGTATGTTTCTCTGTATATTATTTTATTTGGTTCTCAATTCTAATGAGGTAAATGAGGAAAATATTGTGACCATTTTATAAAAATGGAAACTCAAAGCATGCGATACCAATAAGCATCTTGAACGAGTTTATCTCTGTCCTTTGACGAGTAAAAAGCACTTGGTTTGGATGAATAAAATTCAAGTTAAAAGAAATTACAGCGGGACTAAAGATACAGCAAATATTTAAAATGTCTTAAGAATCCTCGTAAAATGGGAAGAATGAGTATCCGTATACAGCCGAATTTCCTCCTAACCAGCTCCTTCTTTGGAGCCGGTTTAGTCACCACTACTGCAGTTGCGCAGCAGAGGCGCGGGGTGCCGCTGTTGGCTAGTTCCGAGCGAAGGGTTTGCTCCCTCCCTGGCCTCGGAATTGCCCGCACACAGGGAACTTGGGGAGAAAAGTGCACCCTCTCTCCCGCCTCCTACAGAGGCGATATCCATCAGAGAACTCATACTCCAAGACCAAGAAAGTAGTCTTTCTTGCTCAGAGAACTCTTGGGATCGTTTAGAGATCTCCTCTCCTGCGAATTAGAAAGGCATAGGCGCAGGGGGTGAGATGAGAAATATTTTAGGACCTAGGGGCGCAGCAGGGTGGAGGCGAATGCCATGTCTCTTCCTGCTGTCTTTGTCCTGCCAGGCCTTCTGAGAACAGATCCACTACGCTATTCTTGAGCAGCTGGCCAGGGGCTCGCTGGTGGGGAACCTCGCCAAGGATGGGGGCTTGGCCTACGGGATTTGCCTGCTCAGAACCTTCGAGTTAACTGTAGAGAAGAATTTCTTTACCGTGAGCACCGAAAATGGGGACTTACTTGTGAGCAATTGTATAGACTGACAGCAGATTTGTGGCAAGAAGTTGACGTGTGTTCTGGAATTCGAAATGGTTGCTAAAAAGCCTTTAAACTTTTCTCATATAACTGTGCTGGTCCAGGATGTCAACGACAGCCCGCGGACTTTGAGCCAAAATATTACTGAGCTGAAAATCAGCCAACTGGCGCTCACTGGAGCCACCTTTGCCCTGGAATCTGCCCAGGATCCTGATGTAGGGGTGAATTCGCTGCAGCAGTACTATCTCAGCCCTGAACTGCTCTTCTCTTTGATTCAGAAGGAGAACCCAGATGGCAGTAGGTACCCAGAGCTGGCACTGAAAGCCCCCCTGGACAGGGAAGAGCAGCTCTGCCACCACCTGGTCCTCAAGGCTATGGACAGGGCTAGCCCTCCAGTAGCTGTACCACCCAGATAAGGGTAATTGTGGCAGACACAAATGATAACACTCACCCCATTATTCACCCAGAACATGTACAGGGTCAGTGTTCCAGAGAACCTGCCCACCAGCTTCTGGGTATTAAGAGTGATGGCCACTGACCCACATGAGGGCACGTCAATGCCAAGATCATCTAAGTCTTTGTCAATATTGGTAAGGCAGTGAGACAGCTATTCAAGCTGGACAGTAAAACAGGGGAACTCACCACTAGTGGAGGACTGGACTTTGAAGAGAGAGATAGCCACACAATCGGGGTGGAAGCAATGGATGGTGGACGTCACACTGCACATTGTAAAGTACAGAGGTTTTGGATGAAAATGACAATGCTCTCTAGATAACTCTGGCTTCTGAATCTCAACATATTCAAGATGCTGAGATGGGGACTCCTGCTGCCCTGATCAAAACACATGACCCAGATTCTGGATTTAATGAAGAAATCCTGTGTCAACTAAAAGGCAATAGTTCAAGATACAAAACACATGGGTTGATGATTCCGGACTACAATGTCACTATCACGGTCACAGACAAAGGCAATCTGTCCCCTCCTCCAGCATGTGCATCGCCCTGTACATTGCTGACCTCAACTGCAATGTTCTGGTTTTCCACCAGGTCCCATATGGCCCAGGTAACTGAGAATAACAACCCCCCCCAGCCTCCATTGCGCAAGTCAGCGCCTCAGATCCCAACTTGAGGCCTAGTAGCCTCCTCTCCTACGCCATCTGGCCAAGGACCTCTAGCCACGGGCTCAATCTTCCTAGGTGCCGGTGAGCACGCAGAGCGGGGTGGTGTTTGCACGGTGCGCCTTCACCTTCCAGCTGGCACTGCAGACCCGCCATCCGGGCTCCCAGCGTTCAGCACTGACGTGAGCCTGCGCATGTATACCTGGCGCTGGGGACCAACAGCATGGCGCTCTTTATGGTGCCCAATGCGATGGCTACTTGGTCACCAAGGTGGTGACGGTGGACGCCGACCAGGGATATGATGCCTGGCTGTCCTACTATGTGTTGCAGGCCAGCGAGCCTGGGCTCTTCAGCCTGGGGCTGCGCACGGATGAAGGTGTGCACAACGTGTGCTTTGAGCGACCGACCGGGATTCGGCTGGCCAACTCCTGCTGGTCTCCATGGGAGACCCAGGACAGCCGCCTCTTTCCGCCACCGCCACTCTGAACCTAATCTTTGCGAGTAGCTTGCAAGAGATACAGCCTGACTTTAGCGATGGCCCCACGAGCCCTCTGACTCCAAAGCAGAGCTGCAGTTTCACCTAGTGGTGACTTTGGCCTTGAGCTCTGTCCTCATGTTTCTCGTGGTGATTAGGCGATCGCCCTGCGCCTGCGTGGCTCCTCCAACCCCGCCGCCGCTGAGACTGCTTCCAACCTGGTCTCTGCTTCAAGACTGTACCTGGAGTTCTCCCCAACTGCAGTGCAAGGACTTTGCCTTATTCGTACAGTCTGTGTGCTGCCTCACATTCCTCAAAGTTTAAATTTCTCAATACATGTTGGAAAATGCTACATCACAAGATCTTTTCTGTGATGAAGGCTCTTGATTTGAAAGTACTGATAATGACAATCCCAAAATGGTTTCTAATTCAAGCAATTTGCAACAAGTGAGTTTCTTCAAACCTTTCCTCCCATAAATATAATTAGGCTTCAATGCATTGATTTAGAGATTAAAAGTGTACAGATTAAATATGCTCTGATTTCATTGTGTTTTATTGATTTTCTGGGCATGGGGGGGTGTTGGAAAATTCTTTGTAAGCTTGGCTATGTTGCAATTGTTCTTTCATAGAATGTCTCCTTGTGATGGTCTTGAAATTTTAGTTAGTCCTAAAACAATATAATCAGAAACACTTTTGTTCCTCTTTTAACATAAAATAAACTTTATTTTATGTACTTTATTTATTTTCATTTTAATAGATTTAGGGGATATAACTTGAATTCTGTTACCTGAATATATTGTGTAGAGGTGAAGTCTGGGCTTTGGGTGTACCCATCACCCAAATAGTGTATATTGTATCCCATAGGTAATTTTTCATCCCTCACCCCCACCAGCCTCCTCACTCTTGAGTCTACAGTGTCTGTTATAACACTCTGTGTACTTTTGTGTAGTCACAGTTTAGCTCCTACTTGTGAGAACATGTGGCATTTATTTTTCTGTTCCCACATTACTTCTCTTGGGGTAATGGCCTCCAGTTCCATCAAAGTTGCTGCAAAAGACATTATTTCATTCTTTCTTATTGCTGAGTAGTACTCCATGATGCACACATACAAACCATATTTTCCTTATCATTCATCAGTTGATGGACACTTAGGTTGATTCCATATCTTTGCAACTGTAAATTGCGCTGCAATAAGCATATGAGTGCAAGAAATACTTTTAATACATTCTTGTCTCACATTATCATTGTGAAATGTATTATCTATTCAGGATTAAAGGCAAATCTATACAACTAAATGGTTTACTTAGTTTCAATGCTGTTGACCCTAAAATATATATAGCATAATATATATGTTAAGATATATTTTTAATGTAGCCTATATGGTTTTACTTCCTTTGCATGTTTTAAAAATTATGCATAGATGATGCCTACATCAAAGTAGTTCTTGATCTCTAGGGTAATAAAAACAAATAATGACACCTAAAAATGGCAGCTCTTGTAACAGGCACTGTAATGAATTGGTTCAAAACGTGTTTGTGGTTGTTGGTGCCCTTATTAAAAATGGGACAAATGTAAATGATGTGGGTGATAATTCAAGATTTACAGAAAAATCGTGATATTTCTGCTCTTCAAGGTCCTAACAGATATTTTCACAAACGTGAGTGATAAATTTCAGGGAAAAATTACTTGAAATAACATCTTTTATTCTTCCAAATGCTTTACTGTCTTGGGGAGAGAATTATTATGAGTGTCGTCCCTTTAGATTTAGCAGAAATAAAATCCTCTGTGTGGCCATTTCACAAAAAGGTGCAGTATTCGTTTAGGACTCTAAGCGTCGCTGTTCACTAACCCGGGCAAGAAAAATCAATGGGAACCCGAGTTGCACCCACCAGCCACAAAGCAGGTCAGACAAGAAAGCAGAGCAGAAATTCTGACCGGGAACGGCTCACATCTGGTCTCTGCTTGTGCAAGAACCTTCGCCTCTAATTCTGAGGAGCGCGAGAGTGATGCGGACCTGTTCTTCCCTCGCCGGATCCCAGGGAAGTCTGTAGCCAGCCGGTCATGGCGGCTGCGCGGGGGCGCGGGCCGCGGGGCGCGCTGCTCCTGCTCCTCACGCTCCTGGGGACGCTGCGGGGGGCTGCGAGCCGGCAGCTGCGCTACTCCGTTCTCGAGGAGCTGGAGAAAGGCTCCTTCGTGGGCAACATCTCCAAGGACCTGGGGCTGGCGCCCGGGGAGCTGGCGGGGCGCGGGGTCCGCGTGGTCTCCAGAGGCAGGACGCAGCTCTTCGCGCTGAGCCCGCGCAGCGGCAGCCTGGTCACCGCGGGCAGGATAGACCGGGAGGAGCTCTGCGCCCAGAGCGCGCCGTGTCTGGTGAGTTTTAACATCCTTGTAGAGGATAAACTGAGTCTCTACCCCGTGGAAGTCGAAATAGTGGACATTAATGACAATTCACCCCGATTCTTAAGAGAAGAGTTGGAAGTGAAAATTCTCGAAAATGCAGCTCCATCCTCTCGTTTTCTGCTAATGGAGGTCCATGACCCTGATGTGGGAATGAACTCTCTTCAGGGCTTTAAGCTCAGCGCTAATGGCCACTTCTCGGTGGACGTGCAAAGCGAAGCCAATGGACCCAAGTACCCGGAGCTGGTGCTGGAGCGCGCCCTGGACCGGGAGGGGGAAGCCGCTCACCACCTGGTCCTCACTGCCGTGGACGGTGGCGACCCTGTCCGCTCAGGTGTGGCGCGGATTCTCATAACTGTCCTAGATGCGAACGACAACGCCCCAGTGTTTTCTCAGCCTGTCTACCGTGCGAGTGTTCCTGAAAATCTGTCAGTAGGGACGCCAGTGTTGTCAGTAAACGCCACCGACCAGGACGAAGGGGCCCACGCGGAAGTAACTTATTCCTTCGTGAAGATTCCGGAAAAGATCTCACAGATTTTCCGCTTGAATGCCTTGACTGGAGAAATTTCAACTTCTGCGAATCTAGACTATGAGGACTCTAGCTTTTATGAGCTGGATGTTGAAGCCCGGGATCGGCCAGGTCTTCGGGACAGAGCAAAAGTCTTAATAACTGTCTTGGATGTCAATGATAATGTTCCAGAGGTGGTTGTGACATCCGGAAGCAGAACGATTGCGGAAAGTGCGCCTCCTGGAACAGTCATCGCCCTTTTCCAAGTGTATGACCGAGACTCTGGACCCAATGGCTTGGTGACGTGTTCCATCCCGAGAAGTCTTCCTTTCGAATTGGAAAAAACAGTGGACAATTATTATCGATTAGTGACAAATTCGTTTCTAGACCGGGAGGAGGTGTCATTGTACAACATCACTGTGACAGCCACAGACAAGGGAATGCCGCCCCTGTCCACAGAAACGCTCATCTCTCTAAACGTGGCAGACACCAACGACAACCCGCCCACCTTCCCCCGCTCGTCCTACTCCGTCTATATCCCTGAGAACAACCCCAGGGGCGCCTCTATCTTTTCTGTGACGGCTCTCGACCCGGACAGCGACGAGAACGCCCGAGTCTCCTACTCCCTGGCCGAGGACACCCTCGAGGGGGCGCCCGTGTCCTCCTTCGTCTCCATCAACTCCAACACCGGCGTCCTGTACGCGCTGCGCTCCTTCGACTACGAGCAGTTTAGAGACCTGCAGCTCCTGGTGACAGCCAGCGACAGCGGAAACCCTCCACTCAGCAGCAACGTGTCGCTGAGCCTGTTCGTGCTGGACCAGAACGACAATGCACCCGAGATCCTGTACCCTGCCCTCCCCACCGACGGTTCCACCGGCGTGGAGCTGGCACCCCGCTCCGCAGAGCCCGGCTACCTGGTGACCAAGGTGGTGGCTGTGGACAGAGACTCGGGCCAGAACGCCTGGCTGTCCTACCGCCTGCTCAAGGCCAGCGAGCCCGGGCTCTTCTCGGTGGGGCTGCACACGGGCGAGGTGCGCACGGCGCGGGCCCTGCTGGACAGAGACGCGCTCAAGCAGAGCCTTATGGTGGCCGTCCAGGACCACGGCCAGCCCCCTCTCTCGGCCACCGTCACGCTCACTGTGGCTGTGGCCGACAGCATCCCCGAAGTCCTGGCCGATCTGGGCAGCCTTGAGCCCTCTGCCGGTCCTTACGACTCGGACCTCACGCTGTACCTGGTGGTGGCAGTGACCACGGTCTCCTGTGTCTTTCTCGCCTTCATCATCGTGCTGCTGGCGCTCAGGCTGCGGCGCTGGCACAAGTCACGCCTGCTGCAGGCTGCGGGAGACGAATTGGCCAGCATGCCCGCCTCGCATTTTGTGGGCGTGGACGGGGTGCGGGCTTTCCTGCAGACCTATTCCCACGAGGTGTCCCTCACCGCGGACTCGGGGAAGAGCCACATCATCTTCCCTCAACCGAACTACGCAGACACGCTCATCAGCCAGGGGAGCTGCGAGAAAAGTGAGCCTCTTTTGATACAGGAAGATTCAGGGTTTTGCAAAGAGGAAGTCTCCTTTGTTCCGGTAAGGTTATTGCTTTTATTGATAATTTAAGAATTATCTCAGCAAATTAAAAAAAATTCTCTTTGATTAGTGGTTAGTTTTCTTAGTCTCTGCATTGAGTCGTGTAATTCTGATGTTTTTCTTTTATATCAATAGGTCTCTTTTAAATCTTAATTTTCTCAAATTTTGTGAGTAAAAATCTTAAGGCATGCCCTACATTTTCTTTACCTTGCTTTTGTTGAAAAAGTATTTTTCCTTTGAATTGAGTACATCTTCTTTCTTAGGCTTTTTTCCTATTATGTGACATTTGTAAGATCCTTTTTTTTTTCCTAATGTGAGAAAAAAATGAACTGCAGCCTCTGTTAAAGAAAATCAAGATCTTGGTTCTCAAGGTTACTTAATAATTGTAAATGTTTTCTAAAATGATGAATATTCATGAGAGATATCTTCCACCATTGCTACTTGGGAAGGGAATCAAAAATTATTTTGAAAAAAGATAAGAGTTGTTGATGCCTGTAGCAGCGAACACCTGATCTTTGGTGTTAAAAGACCTGAACATATTCCTGGAGCTATCTGTCATTTATTTGAGCCAGTCAAAACCTCTATAATCTTGCAAATAAAATTAAATTTAAAAAGACTTCCCTTGCTGACCTGACACAAATTCTGGGAAAATAAAATAAAATAATTTTTAATTTTTCTTTGAACTATAAAGAAGTATAGTGAGCAAGTATTTGTCGACATCACCGTTATAATTATTGGATTGTTAACAAATACATGTAAACAACTGATGGTGTGTGCTTACTACAATGTCTTTTGCATACTGTGTGCTTTGATAGTACTTAAAAATGAAAATGAATTTTAAAACATGCCCAGTAGTATCCACTCACAGGAAATATCTCTAAAAATAGAGGACTGGCTGGTAAATGGGAGAATGAAGGATCAATGTCATTCAAATAAAATTTAAATAATTTAGCATTTTAACCCAGATAAAATAAGGCCTTCTGTCATATAGGAACTCTGTATTCAAATATTTGAAGGAAAGCAATTTATCGTTTAGAAGAATGATCAGTCTTACCTATTATGACCAAATGTGCAAACAAAATCATGGCTTGGTGAGCAGAAAACAGCAAAGATTTTAATTGTCAAAGTGGTTCTAACAGGAAATGGATTGCTAAGTAGGTAAGAGATTCTGTTATTGGCACTCTTCAAAAGTAAGTTGATGGGGTTGGGGTTGTGGTTCTCTCTCCAGTAGTTCCAGCTGCCCGGGAGGCTGATACTAGAGGATTACTTGAGCCCAGGAGCAGAGGCCAGTCTGGGCAACATATGGAGACTCCATCTCAAAAAAAAGTAACTTATGGCCCCAAGATTAATGCAATACAGGGGAGTCTTGATAAGCTGTTGAACTACATTACAGCCAAAGTTTTTTCCAATCTTGAGTTGGAGGATTCAATGGTCTGATAATAGAATGGATGGAACACTTGTACATCTAAATCTGGTATGCACATGTAAGAAAGAATAATTGAAAAGACATCTTGAAAATGAACGAGAACCTCCTTTGTGACCTTTATCAATTTTTATAAGGATAACATTGAGTTGCTGTTATTAAAATAAGTTGGTAGGAATAATACATGTTTTTCTAAATGAATATTGTGATATTTACATTTAAGCAATTATTATACAATTATTTATTTCAAGTTTCCAAATGTGTTATATGTCTAACCAAGAAATTTTGTAATCATAAACATTTTCAAATCCAATCGATATTTGGGTTATAATTTGATGGTTTTAATCAGAATTCATTAGTAAATGACAATTTTAAACAACTTGAATCTTGGATATTAGTCATATGAATCAGGTGGTTTCTTATACAAAAGTGATGATTTGTTTCATACACTGATAGTGTGAATGGTATTTTACTACATCACCAATTTGGGATGATTTGAACTACATCTTGAGTATTCATTATTATAGGCAAAGCTAGTCACTAACTGTCATAAATAGTAGACTGCTGTATTTTATTCTCTTATCTGAGTTACTTGTGACATTTAAACAAATAAGTCAGGTCACTGATGGAAAAACTATCAGATTCTATTCTCACAATAATCATTCACTCATGTGGACTGACCAACCATTAAACATCCTGGCAATCATGGAATTTGCTAAGTTCTAACTAAATGAAGCTCTGTGATTCACCCACGATACGGATAATTAATAGTAAGATAGGAAACATCAGGAAAAAAATCTATGAAATTATTGGGCTATTTTATCATCTGTAAGCACCATCCTTTTCTGATCAAACTTCTGTTGAGGTGGCCATTATCAAAGGGAATTAAAATATCAGAATCGTTGGAAAATACCTATATCTTCATTTGATAATGAAAATCTAAACAAGAACTTCAAACAGATGATTTTCAGTAGAAAAAGTTCTGAAAAGAAAACCCCAGCACTTTGGGAGGCCAAGGTGTGAGTATTCCTTGAGACCAGCCTGAGCAACAGTGAGATCGCCCCCCTCACCCCACTTCTACCACAAAAAAAAAAAATAGAAAAAATAGCTGGGTATGGTGGTGCACACCTGTAGTCCCATCTACCTTGGAGGCTGAGGCAGGCAGTTGGCTTGAGTGCACACCTGTAGTCCCATCTACCTTGGAGGCTGAGGCAGGCAGTTGGCTTGAGTCCAGGAATTAGAAGTTGCAGTAAGCTATGATGACTCCACTGCACTCTAGCCTGGGCAACAGAGTGAGACCCCTTCTCAAAAAAAAAAAAGAAAGAAAGAAAAAGAAAAGAAAAGAAGTAAGGTAAATAACTCAGTGCCAATGCATGGGAAGTCAAATAGGCTTTCCATAGAATTTTTTGATGAAAGTAAACAAATGAAGATCAAGATTCCCCTAATAACTCAATCAATAATAACATACTCTCCTTAAAATATAAAATTATTTCAATTTGATGTGGTGAGCTTATGTTTTATTTTATTAAACATATCTTGGTGGTCTAGTAAATATCTTTAATATTTAATTTTGTGTCATAGGATAACACTTGAATACCAGAGATAATGGAGCCATTTACTATCACATACTTTCTGTTCACAGTAGTCTATAATTTTATTTAACCAGACCTTATTTATTTACCTCCAAAGAAGTTACCTACAAGTAATGAGTTATTGAGACATTTTTTTTCTAGAGACTAGATGAGGTTTAGCTATGTTGTCCAGGCTGGTCTTGGAACTCCTAGGCTCAAGTGGTCCTCCTGCCTCAGCCTCCCAAAGTGCTGGGCTTACAACTCTGAGCCACCATGCCTGGCCATAACTGAGACTTTTAAAAAACAGTAAAATAAGAAACAAATGTGAGATGAAACTTTGAATTTGTGAGGCATCAGGTAGAAAAGGATCAAGACATTGGGAAACAGCTGGGCGCGGTGGCTCACCCTGTAATCCTAGCACTCTGGGAGGCTGAGGCGGGCGGATTGCTCAAGGTCAGGAGTTCAAAACCAGCCTGAGTGAGATCCCATCTCTACTAAAAATAGAAGTAAATTAATTGACCAACTAAAAATATACATACAAAAAATTAGCTGGGCATGGTGGTGCATGCCTGTAGTCCCAGCTACTCGGGAGGCTGGCGAGGAGGATTGCTTGAGCCCAGGAGATTGAGGTTGCTGTGAGCTAGGCTGACACCATGGCACTCACTCTAGCCTGGGCAACAAAGTGAGACTCTGTCTCTCTAAAAAAAAAAAAAAAAAAAAAGACATTGACCATTTAAAGACCATACACTTTGCATCAATAAGAAGTTCAAAATTACTATTAAACAAATAGAATTTACCTCCTGTTTGTGGAATTAATCTATAATACCCATATTACTTCCTTTAAACAAAAACTTGTTTTATCTAATTGGTGACAGCAAATATGACTTAGAATTATTTTGGTAGATCAAAATAGCATTTCATTCAAAGTATTTCCTATATTCTGGAGCAATGCCACCAGAAAACAGAAATTGATTACTTAGTTAGGAACCTCCCACAAAACTAAGCTAAGCATTTTTAGTGTTACTTCTGGATTCTTCTCCTGGTTCTGCTAGCTACTTCTCTAGTACTTAAAATAATTTACAAAGCAAGACTAGGTCTTTATTTCTTGCCAGATCTTTATTCCAGAGCACATCATTGTCTTTTCTTCTGCACATATGTGAATGAGACTTTCTTATATTCCTGCTAGCTGAGGGTGGCCTTGGATCCATCAATAAAGTTTTACTCCATCAATATTAAATGCAAAAATGAGTACCTCTAAGGATCCTCTCTGTATAGTCTTGCATATTTCTCAAATGCTGTCTGGAGACCCCTTTCTCCTTAACTATTCTAGAATAGGGTAGGATGAAGATTTGAATTGCATAGTCAAAAGATGCAGTCAAGCCAACATCCACTTTCATATGAATTCACAACCCAGTAGGATATCTGCAAATTTCTGCCTTCTGTAGAAAATGGGTTAGTCGTTCTTATAGCTGATTGTTGCTGCTTGGCTTTTCACCTCATCTCGAATGATGCTTTTTGAGCACAAAGCATCATCCAAGACCAACAATTATTTTTTTTTCTTAAAAGAATGAGAGTGAGGATATTTGAATTCCTATGTTGTTCTACTACTTTATAATCAGGAACAAGGCATTCCCTCTCATTTTTTAAAAATTGTTAAAGTGAAGGTTTTAGATTAAGCCATCTCTAAGTTTCTACACAATAGCAAATTTATTAAAATACTTCTCTATAGTCTTAAGACAATTTTGACTTTTTGAGTCTTGTATGGTGGTGTCTAGAAATAGCAGTGTTCCATAATATTATTGAATTAATTAAAATTATATACACTGATGTAAATATTTTATATGCAAATTCTTTCATATACATTTAATAAAGTTTACCTTTCTGCCTTCATTGACTGCTTTTTTTTCTACATGCGATAAAGTATGAGTCCGTGCCCAACAGAGTAACTTGAAAGTTGCTAGGCAAAACATCTTTAAAATTACCTGGGATTATCAGACACCCATCCA